TCTTTCTGTCTTTCTTTCTTTCGAATTCTTTCTGTCTTTCTTTCTTTCGAATTCTTTCTTTCTTTTTATCTTTGTTTTTTTTTTCGTCGCGGGGAATACCCTAGACACGAAAGTGGCAAAATCAGTCAGCTCACAGACTTGCTAACCTTGATTTCCATAATATGGAAATATTTAATATAAAGGTCAAGTGATAACCTCAGCTATATGCAAGTTTTGCGTTTAATCGTATTTAATAGATATAGTGGGGAATGGTTAGGAAACCCATTGTTTTCAGGTCTTTGTTCGCTTTGGATGTTTGATTTATGCTCGTCCGAAATCGCAAAATTAGTAAAGATAACCTTTATCTATGGGATTGTTGTAAGGAATCTTCAAATATCTCATAAAAATCTTTAAAAAATTTGAACTAGCTGCCAAAAGAACGATTTTGTTCTGTTCACTCAGCCATTGCCAACAATGGTATAACAATAGTAAAACAAAGGATTGTGCACTGGACCTCACGCTTGAAAAAAGTGAACAATAACCTATAACAATAGAGTTTCCTAACTATTAACTATGGTTAAATGACCTTTTTTTAATACGATTTTCAAATTAGTGTTATGGGCGACCGCTCTCGGTACGAGCTACGGGATCTTTATTCACTTCTCTCTTCTATACTCTCTATCTGACTTCTTTCTTCTTCTATCTGACTTATACTAATTACATGAGCTCTATTTTTAATAACTCAATGACATGTGTCATTCTACAATCAATGTGATATTATCGCTGAGTCTTGATTGGCTAAAGGAAATAGTAAATTCCTAAGTGTGATATCTTATTAAAGAGTAATACGAGTGAAAATCTTAGAATTAAACATAGCTTAAACTAAAGTTAATATTTGAATATATGGTAAATGTATAGAAAAGACTGTGAGGAATATTTCTATCATAAGATTTAAAAGAATAGTGCCAACATAACTAAGCAAAGGGGTAAAGAGTGTGTAGGGCGTAACCAGAGGTGTCAGGCTAATGGGAGGAGCTAAGAAGTTTACTTGCAAATTCAAAGCATACCATTATCTAAACTTGTGCGTGATGGTAGCCTTACTGAAATGTTATATCCATATTTTTCATAACTAATTGATCGTTCTTTATCTTGTTTTCATATGATAAGAAATAGTAATTAGAAAACTGATGTCTAGCTTAGTCTGTAATTAAACATTAATTTAATCTCTCATAACATTAGTACTTGGATATATCTTGATTATCTAAATAAATATTCTGGAAGTTCTTAATCGAAAAAAAAAAAAAGGTTATGCACTTGAGAAAAGAGCAGAGGCCAGGTACCAAATACATAGAGCAGTTTTCGTAAGACGTTGAAAACAAAAAAAAAAAACACACGTAACTTACGGCATGGACCGCACCTTGCCGTGACCTTGTCAGCCTTGTCCATTAAAAATCACTTGACGTGTCCGTGCAATGGTCCRCCGTAACCGTGCCGTGTGTCGTGACTTTTCACACGCATACGAAATCTAAGCTAAACACTACTACCCCAACTTGTATTTATTTGTCTTTTTGAGCCCGAGAAAGACTGAAAAATGTCAAGAAAATATTTTTTTTCACACAAGAATATAATACTGTGAATAAATCGCCAACTTTAATAGCGGTTAAGTCAGTTGATCACAAAAGCAAAATATTACATTTAATCTTTCTTATTTTTGTAGCTTTACCTCGTATCAAGAATCTAACCTTGCACCTTTCTGGTAAACAAGGAGAATCAATAACATTAAGATGTGATGCCTCTGGAGATCCAGCGCCCAATTATACATGGATAAGCAAGGAAACGAACAGAACAATAGCTAATTCCGGTGTGACGTCAATCAGCATTACTGGTAAAGCATCAGGAGGAAAGTACTGCTGTCACGTGTCAAACGGTTTTGGGGAGGAGACTAATTGTACGTCTGTTAAAGTAACAGGTATGCGACTTTATAGCGAAATACATCGTGTCATTATAAAGGGAGGAAGAGAGAGATTTATTGGGTATCATCATCTATATTTTGGACAATTCCTCCCCCAAAAAAATTGGAAATAAAGCTAACTAACTSGCCAACGAATGAAAACAAACCGTTTTCAAAATGTCTTTTTTAACCTTAAGTGAATTATACACGATAGATTTATTATCTGCAGAAGACAAACGCTGCAGGTGTCCTTTTTATGCAGCCTTGCAAGCTATCGATGATTGGCTGATTGTTTTCAGCCAATCAGATGCGGCTATCTAATGAGCAGGTAGACAAAGGTATCAGTTTAGTAAACAGGGGGGAAGGTAGTGTAAACAGAAGAGATGTGTATGTACCTTCTGCCATTTAGATCAACATTTTTATATAGAGCTTACTTGTTTAGCATGGCAGATGGTTGAACACTCGAATAATCTTAGCGTCGAGATCTGAGAATTCGTTTCCGATCTCATGTGACTTGTGCTATCTTGTCATTATTATTATACAGAATATCAACCAATAAATTCAAAGCTGACATCGGATATGAAATTTGCAACAGCAAATAAAACATTTGAAGTATTCTGTAATGCAGACGCATCTCCGCCAGCAAATTACTCCATCAAACAAGGAAATATAACAATGGTAAATTCGTTTGATGGTAATGTCACAATTACTACACCAAATAATGGAACGTATCTTGCTATCGGCTGTATTGCGAAGAACAAATATGGGCAAGAAAGAGCAAATTCCCTCACAATACCGATCTATCGTAAGTTACAATCCTAAATGAAAAAGTTCAAAATGGTTAGTAAAGTTATTAATTAATAAGCTTTACTTTTCATGCTGTAACTTTAATTTTGTTTAGGAATTTCATTTTTTTATCGTTTATTATTTATTTTTGCAATATATTTCACTCTAATGAATTGAAAAGTATGTAAAAAATGCATTATTTCAATGTAACTTATACTTAAACATATAAACTTATAACTAATTATATCTATATATATGCTATTCACAGAACCACCAACAATAGTACATCATCCAAACCCTCGAATTACAATAGAGAACGATAGCATTACACTGCAATGCAAAGCCACAGGGACCCCAAGACCAAATATTACTTGGTATGACAAAATAAGAAATAAAACCGTTGAAGCGGCAAATGGAACGTTGCTTGTACAAAGCGAAGATTGTAAAAATAATACGTTTAAGTACTCCTGTATGGCTTTGAATTTTATTACACACGTTGAAAGTCCTTCAATAACGGTAGAAGGTATGTTTTTTTAAGAAAAAGATATCTGCTTGCCTGCTTGCCTGCTTGCCTGCTTGCCTGCTTGCCTGCTTGCCTGCTTGCCTGCTGGTTTATTAATTTCATTTWYTYTCTAGATTGCTCGATTTCTTATTTATTTGTTGATGGTTGGTTAGCGTTTCAAAGGCTGTCAGGGGCCTATTTATGGTTGATTGTGGTAATTTTTTGTCATATTAATTATTTTTATTTTTTTTAGCTTTTCAACGCAAATCCGTTTCATTTTGCAAGAAAATAGGAAGTAAAAATAATGGTATGTTTACTATATGATCAAAATGATCATTATTTATTTGTTGTCTGTAATAGCCTAGATTACACGTATATTGAGCAACTGATGGATGGAAGGATGGATAGATTACAAAAGAAAATCTTAGCAGAAGCATCAGCATAGTCGACCATTTTAGTATGAAATCCAAAAGCTCTTATTATATGTGTATAGAAATATTATATATAGTATTATTATTTAGCTGGTCAGAGTAGTTGCTTTTGTTACATGTGGTGGAGTGGAAATGATTTTTGAAAACAAAGGAATACTTATAAAATGGGTCTCTTGCAGCACACAAACCAACAGGTTCCCATTTCCCAGGAGATTAAAATTATTTTGTTTTATCCTCCAAATTGAGGTCCTTTGACGTCACATGCAAAGGGTCTATTACAACCGAGTAGCTAAAATACAACAAGATCAACAAGTGACCCTACCCAAGAATCGAAACCAAGAAACAAGCGCTTTTGTCAAATGGCCGGGAAGAAAGCCAATATATTCAAGGGTTAGGCAAGCTTAAAGCGAATCATATCTTGACAACTGAAGCTATATAATTATATGACTATAATTATAAGCTATATAATACTTGTATCAATGTAAGAAGAGGGCTGGGAATCACACAAATATGAGAGACTAGATACACATATTGATGGGATCATAAACAAGATAGTGCTAGCCTCTCAGGTTATCTACAACGCAGAACAAAATAGCTTAACATGGCTTTCTTTAATTACAAATAAATTCTATTCTTTTAGTATCAAGTACATGACTTATAAGTACATGATTACATATGATTGTGCTTTTTTGATATTTTAGACGAATTCATTCTTCATTCTGGTCCTGATTGGCTACTCATAATCATAGTGGTCGTTTGCTCTCTGGTCACGGTTGCGTTAATACTGGCTTTTATTCTCTTTTCAAGAAAACGGAAAAAGTCAAAACGTGACATCGATAAGGGTAAGTGAGTGATAAATATAATACACGTTACAGGAGTTGAAGCCAAATAATAATAATAGTTCCCACGTAAGCCTTGAACACAGGTGCGGTAACCTTTTGCGAATTCGCTTGCATTGAGAGACCCAAAAAATAGTATTAAAATAGGGTTGGATACATGCTTCTTTGAGAAGCGCATGCTCAAGGGGTCAACAAGCGGGATCATGGTTGTAAAAATTGCTATATTAAGGAATATTTGATTTAGATCCAGCAACAGTCAACATTAAAAGATAATTCCCTTTTCTTACCAGTATCTAGGTGCACATTTTAATCCTGTGGCTCATTTTAACACGACTGCTCGTTTATAAGGTTTAACKAATGGGAATGTAACACATGTGTAAATGAAAATAACCTATTTTCATGCCATAACTGTAATATTTTTCCTTTGGCTTCCAGGTACACTATCTATACCCGYTAAACCGTAAGTTCTGACAATTTCTACTTCTTATAAGTACATGACGTTATGTAATAGTAAAGAACTGACTGTTTTTTAGAACAATCAATGGTTCTGACTAGGACAACAGCCAATCGAATCATGAATTGTTAACACAACGGTCACCTACAAACCTCCATTTTTCCTGGCAGAAAAAAAGCGCATTGCATAGCATTACATTGCTTCCTGTCCTCGCAGTGCATTGTAGTTGACTAGTTTTCTTCAATTTTCAAAAACTTTTATTTTTATTTGGTTCATCGATTACTTAGGTTTCATTGGTTGGCGACTAATTGGTTAATCACTTGATTAAAAATGGACCCTTTTTATTAGGATAATGCATCGTGAATGCGAGGATAACGTCATGGAAATACAAAAGAAATGCCACAAATTCAAAAGAGAAAAAGGTTGATTTCTTTTGTATTTTTATGTTAGCCTCACATTCACGATGCTTTTGAGAAAGGTCCACTCAGGCATTGGTTGATTTGATTGACGAATAGTTAGTTATGATGGTTACTATTTTTATATTGACTCCTTATATAAAACACACGACTTTGTTAGAAGGCAAAATCAGTCGATGGAGGAGAGTCCGTATGGAGAACCAGTTGATGCAATACGTGTGAGAAGCGTAATTAACATATCTGCAAGCAATGCTGATTATGCCACCGTGGAAGAGACTGGGTACAAACCGGCAATCACTTCTAACACAGTACAACAACCAACACGTGGTGAGACAACCAATTCGAAAAAAGTGAAATCTAAC